CATTGAACGTGTAATTTGGACCTTCAACATCATTGACCACCATTAAAGTCCACTCGAGAAAAATCCTGGAATGTTTTCCTCAAAAACCTTAATTTCTTTTCTCCTGAAGACAGAAAGACATTAACATCTTGGATGACATGGGGTTGAGTAAATCATCAGGAATGTTTTATTCTTGGTGAGGGTGTTGGACCTGGATAATAACTAGAGGGCTGCTGGCTCATTAAAGGTGGAGAACCACTGCTTTACAGCTTAGAACACTCACTTACTAGCTATGACGAAATGTCTAATTGTTTATTTCCTCAGGCTGTAAGAATTTGGCCCGGAGTCAAGCAGGTCTTGCAGCATAGCAGGAAACGACACTGGATTGACGGGACTGAGAGCCTCGTGTTTTCATAGCGCCGAAACTCCACGAGTAGGCTGTTTGTTTGGGGCGTTGAAGAAAACACGTGGGAGAAATATACATATATATAGAGGAGTTCGAGGACATGGAGCGGCGCTTTTAAACTGTCCGTTATGGAGGTGGCAAACGAAGAGGCAGCCTGTAAAGTCTACGCAGTTTTAATGGAGCCCGAGCCCGAGACCGTGAGCCGTTTGAGGACAAAGTACTACTCACTGCGGCGACAGGTGTGTTTAATCCAGTCCATCAGCGTGCTCCTCTGCTTCAGCTGCTGCCTGTTCACGCTCCTGTATCACGCGTTCCCGCCGACCTGCACTGTAAGTCAGCGTCAAACAATCACGTTACTGCTCACCGACCCCGTCAAATTTATCATTGCTTTAGAAACCTTTGCAATGGATACGAGTTCATTTATATGTACTATTCATTAATGGCAACACTACATTACAGTATGTTATAACCGTTTTAACATAGATTGCATAAAATATAAAATGTGTGTTATATGACCAAGTCTTTATTTGTTTGACATTTTTTTATTTACTTAAGTTTACCGATAGAGACTATTTATTATATGCCAATACCTTCGTTATGAGACTAGTAGGCCTGTCTATACCGATCGATTTTACTGGTTTAGCCTATTTGTTTTTCTTATTTTTTGTTAAGATTAAAAATCTTATTAGTGTTAATTGGATTATAATTCATAGGTAATAGTTGAGCCTGAAATAGCTGCTAATAACTATTGTCACTAGTAGTATAGTCACTTGTAGTAAGAAATAAATTACTAGTAAAACTAGGACAAGTAGCCAGTGACTGGATTGCATACTGGTCGAAAGTGAATAGCTGATGCACATAGAATTCAGTGGCAAATTATTTGCATTGTGTTACCAGTAGCAGTGGAATATGATAATGACTAACAGGATAATGACTAAAAGAAAAGGAATAAGTGCTAGAATCTAATAAATAAATACGTAATAATACATAGTTACAAGTGTAATGGGAAAAAAATATGCTGCTCCCTGTGATTACACAATAATAGCCCTAATGGGGGGGAAAAAAATGAAATATGCAGGTATGACTGAGAGAATCAATGCATTGGTTAATTGTAGGATTCATTGTGTGCGTATTAAACTGTTTACATTTGCTCTCTTTTCATAGGAAAACGGAACTAAGGAGGCATCTAAATTTGGTAAGGTCATTATTTACTACTAAAGCTTTTTTTTTTTTTTTTGTGAATATTGAATTCAGGGTCAAACTTTATTTTAAGGTCCAGTAATCACTATATGACCTTTGCCTCAATAATTTCAATATTTGCTTCTTATTAGTTAGTTAGGTAGTTAAGTTTAGGTAGGGTGTAGAATTAATGGATCTCAAATATGGTCAAACAGAATAAGGCATTAATATGTACTTTATACGTACTAATAAACAGCAAATATGCTAGTAGTGTGCATGCTAGTTAATAATGAGAATTGGTCCTTAAGTAAAGTTTTCCTCTTTATTGTACCATCATACAGTATATACAGCATGACTATGGAAATTCATATGACAGTTTTTTTTAATTTGCTTTTTACTATTTATTTTTTTTTTTTTTACAAGTAACTGTTAAATTTTCAAAACTTGTAATACTAATATCATTCACAGTAAATGCCTTTCATAAAGATCTTACTACCAAACTTTTAATTTGCATGTCTTCTCATTCAGTTTAATACATTTGTCTATTATTTAATCAAACTCATCTAATGGTTAACCAGTGAATCATTTGGTGCATCTATAGATATCCATAGATTCAGTAGATATAGTTTCTATAGAACTTGTTGTCAGTTTAGGGATTACCAAATATAATGAATTATTTTTACACTATAAGTGATTTATCTTAGATGATAACCACTATTTTGTAATTGTGTGTGTGTGGTTCAAGTAAACCCTATGTTATGTTATAACCCATTACTTCAATGGAATGTCATAATGATAGGAATACCAATGTGTGTGTGTGTGTGTGTGTGTGTGTGTGTGTGTGTGTGTGTGTGTGTGTGTG